CCCCCTAATGTCTATACTTTCAGGGCTGCAGTGAACCCTGAATTCATTTTCATGGATAACAATGCGCGACCGCATCGAACATCTCAGGTGGAAGAGCTCTTTACACAAGAGGTTATCCAGCGAATGGAGTGCCTGTCCGTGCCCCCGAACTGAATCCCATCACGTGTAGGATGCGCTGGATAGAGGCATTACAGCACGTCCAAACGCACCACTGACCATCCAGTAATTGTCAGTTGCGCTGATAGAGGAGTGGAATGCCCTACCACAATAACTCATTTCCATCCTTGTAGAAAGTATGGGATCGCATTGCAGAGCATTTACTGCTGTCCGTGGTGATCACGTACCCTATTAGGAACCGCGTCGCTTTTTTGAAGTACTAAAATAAGTTGTGAGGAACTATGTGAAATCGATACCTTTCAATAAAAATGCCTTATTTGCTAGTCCTATTTCGATTTTCTGCCAGTTACTTCCTGTGCAATACCGTAATGATCCTCTATTGGTACGGTATAAATTTCATCGAGCTCTGTCATCTGGCAGAGGTTCAGTGATCGAAAGTTGCTTTCGTCCCTAAGTTTTGCACACCAGTGTAGTAGCTCCATGATAGTATCGACTGTATGCTATGGCAATTTTGGACATTTTTGGTTTGATGTTGTCAGTTCTTTGGGCAATAATTGAAATTTCGTTCGATAACTCATTCCTTGTCATTTCCGTCAGGGTAATCTCGTACAAACTCTATTTTCACTGTTCCGAGAAGCCTAGTACTTGCGTATTTTACGGATTTTCTCGCTTCTTTGGCCTTCGATGCATTGATTTTCCGAGATCACTTTCGCTTTCCCTCTTGAAAAGGATGCCACAAAATCGTCGTAAAGCATGTTTTTGTCCCGAAGAAAGCGTTTTCTGCGTGTATTCCTTAATGTTTTTTCCTCTAACCTCATGTCAACGCACATCCCTTTAAGATATTAAAAATAAGATTGAGTTGTTTTTTGCAGAGCTTTGTGGAATGGTGCCATTCATACGCTATCATGGCGAGGTTCATGCGCAACAATCGAAACATGTGGGTTTTTGCTACTCAACTTAAGAAATTGGTCCACTTTTAAGTTCCTAGTCAAACATAGTTCGTTGCAGAAAGCTGATTCATCCTGATTATTTGACAAAACTCGATCCCAAGGTTAGAGAAGCCGTAATACGTGACGGCTTCCTTTCATCACCTCGTTTCTCTCCCCGTGACTCAGGAGCTGTCAGAGACCCATTCCACCGGAAGAATGCTTCAGAAAAATCCATATTAATAGATAGGACAAAGGGAGATATTGCGCTGAACGTGAGTGTTTCTAATTTATGTTCTCATATATCTCAGCTAGGTACGGTAGTTCGGGCGTGAAAAATCGGATATTGGAAAGGGAGATCAGACGACAGCATAATTGAACGTGTGTGATGTCTACCAGGCAAAAGCAGAGGAGACGAACAGTTGTATCGGTCAGACCTGGCCATCTGTTTTCCTATTTTTTTTTGCTGCTTGGATCGGTCAGGCCTGGCCACATCACTGTTTTCCGACCGTTTCGCTGCAACTTACTTGAGACGTTGTAAAACGTAGCTGATTAGGTGTTGGCCAATGTGTGACCGTCAGTATCGTCCCATAGATGACGAGTAAGGATCGGTAGCGCGGTCGTTGTAGCTGCGAATACTTAATTTAATCTGAAAAATCAAATCAAGCAGTTAGGCCTCGAAAGGGTATAGGCTCTACCTTGTAAAGATTGTCAAGGTAGATGATGTTGCATTGTATTATACTGTCTGCATTTCCTTTTTTGATGGGTTCGAAATGCTTACCGTAGATTGAGTGGCTCTTTGTGCATGTTTTCTTTTGTTCAATATGAAGCTATGAAATTGCCTGCTCCGCTTCGTTCTGCTGGTTCTCAACAATCTCCTTCAGTTTTTCCTCTTTTCCCTCCTCTCACTCATTATATGTATAATAGTAACATTGAATGTGAACTATTCAGAGAGAGGGCTAGGTTTGTCTGAATGAGGTCACTTGACTTAATCCTTCGGCAACAGTCCTGCTGCATAGGCCTCTGCCGATCTCTGGAGTATGACTTTTTCACATTTTCCCAGTGTGCGAGAACTGACTCAATATACAATCAAATCTGATGTTAATGCATATTTTGTTGTGGTAGAAACCGCTTTATTTGGTCGACGTTTCGAACAAATTGCCGTCTTCAGGACCTGGAAACAGTTCGGAGCTCCTGATCTGTGGCTTAGCCGACCAAGCGCCCAAACGCGCTGGCCCAGTTGCAACAGCTCCGAGAAACGTGAACGCCAAAAGATCCTAACCAAGTAACCAACCTTTTGCGGTTCCACCAACGCACCAACGTTGCCGTCCCACCCAGTTTTGTGCAAAGTCCACATTATGGCTCGAATCAAGGAATACCTTAAATGTAACTTTTTCAAGTGGAGCGGGCAGTTCTTCTCTTGAAAGCGAGGACATGCTATGAGTCAGCGGCTAACACCGTCTGAGCTAACCCATCAATGGGCAGGATAGAAAGGTCAGTCATAGCGCGCATGCCCATTATGTACTGTCGGTACATCGATGACTGCTGCGTAGTTACATACTCGCAGCAAGGGATGGATGTATTATTTTACATCCTCAACCGACAATCACAGTATATCAGGTACACGAGAAAAGTTCCGCACGGAGGCTAGCTTCCTTATCCAAACACACAGATAAAGATCTCAGGTGGGAGGTATCATGTGAAGTGGTATCGGAGAACATCTCGAAGGACATCTTCCCCCACGCAATTCCTGCTCACCCTGGAGCTGTGACTAGCTGATTGAGGCAGGCGTGTGACGAAGATCACTTGTCAGTTGGTGCGAAATCATCGGACAAGATTTTTCCAGTAGCGTGTTCGTGAAGATAATTGACGACGTTTCTCTGATCAAACTGACAATCAGGGAGCTACGCAAATTTCTGCTCCTGTAATCCAGTCTCTTCTTTTTCCGCTGAGAAGTAGGTATCATAAAAAGCAACCGGTCATTTGGACGAGGATTGTCTTTGAGCGCCGTATCTCCAAAATGAAAGGGATAGTATAAACGGTCTTTGGTCGGATGCCTACAGAGCTCTTTTCTGGGTACAATATTGAAGTTGTAGTTAGCTGAATTAGCACTGGAGCTGCGCCATTCGTAACAAACGGTTACTCGAAGCTGTTCTCGACACTTGCGACATGATTTACACGAGAAGCGCTCAGGGACATATTTGAATAGTACTGATGGTAATTCTGAGATTGTTCGAGAATGTGGTAACGGTCCCAGGACTGCAAAGGTTCTGGTAGAAAACGACGATACATGTGAACTTGTGTCTCAAAAC